TCCAGAAAATTTTATGTTTAAACTGTTGGATTCTGTTAAAGAACAATTATTGTACGTGGAACAATTAATATACATCCGTTAGATGGTTGGAACCAGACTTTCCAACCCAAGATTCTGCTCTGGATAGCAGCACAAATTTTTTTATATGCGTAAAGAATTGTATAATACCCTCTGCAATAACTAGGCAAACACTCGTCACATGTATTGTTCTAGTAGAAATTGAAAGATCTGTCCTCAATGAGTTCTAGGATGAAAATTGTGTCTCCAATACCTTATGAGACTTTAGTATACGAGGGACAAAGGTAATAAGGTATGCACGGATTTTCAAGCGTCCGTGATAAAAATTAGTAAAGAGAAGGGAAGGGAAAAGAAGGGAGGAAAGGGAGAAAAAAGAAAGAAAAAGTGAAGAGAATGAAAGAACTGATATTAACCTTTTGTTTGGATGGAGAAACGTAGAGGAAAGAAAATGATAATAGTTTTATTTAATTAAATAATTTAAATAAAATAAAACAAAATAGAATAAAAATTTTTAAATTTATTAATTAAAAAATTAAAATAAAATATTTTAATATATATTTTTATAGAAAATTAAAAAATATTAAATATTTAAATTAAATTTCTCTTAATTCCTCTAATTTAGAGGATGGAAAACAGAGTAGTGGAGAGGGGTTTATCAAACCTCCATCTCTTTGCCCCTCCATTAATGAAAAAGAATGAATAAGGTGAGGGTGATACTTTTTCTCAATCTCCTCTCCTTTCTCTTCAATTTTCCCAATCTTAACACAATGCAGGTGCCTAAAACCTTTGGGGACGATTTTCCTATCGACATGATTTTAGGTGTCCCCAAATATAAAAAATTCTGTAGTGATTTTCTTCTTCTCTTTGAACTTGAAAACAAGTTTGAAATTTATGTGGTATAGACATCAGTATAATGCAAATTAATATGATATATATTAGAATCCTTATATAGGCTGAATATATATGACTAAACTTGTCCATGGATTCGATAGTAACAAGCACTCACTAGCTGGATAAAGATTCTTGATAATGTTTTGGGAAATGTAAGGTATGTTATCCTTGAACATTTTCATTTCTACCTTTGTTCAGTCAACATATGCCTTCAGGATAAATGGTCCAGTTCACGCACGTTGATAAACCATGTCAAAGGAGGTATCCCAAAAAGAGGCCTGGAAGAGCTTTCGAGACTTACCTATTTGCCATGTTTGATGAGAACCAAAAAGCAACCAGAATTGGAGAAGCATTTTGGGGTTTTCTCCCTAACATCAGGCAAAATATCCAGTAAACTTCAGCACAAAAAGGATCTCGGATATTTCTGTTGAGAACAATACAACTGTTTTCCTTAAGAGCGATACGTAAGGCTACAAGTATGCTGGTCTGTCCTTTGTGTCCTTATCTTAAATATCTCAAGTCTGCACAGACAAATTAATGCTGTCTTGATCTATTGCGGAAGAGAGAGTTTGTGAGTGTTTTTTTTCTATGGTTAATTAATGTTTACTCTTATCTAGTTAATTTGATGCTTTTAATAGTTCTATGCTGCAAAAATTGAAACAGGAGCTAAGATCTCTAATACCAGTAGTACTTCATTTCATTACAACATAAGTTTCAGAGGTAATAACATATATAGCAGCATAATTTATTGATACATAATATCGGGAATTATGTAGCTCCTGCTGCTGCTATAATGAGGCACAGAAGTATACCTTCATAGCTTTGAATGTTTCCACTAGAAATTGATAGGTCCACTGGGATTGTTGATACTTCCAGAAAAGGCACCAGTATTATACGCTCCAGCACCAGGGCCTTTGTTGGTGATAGATCCACCACTACAACCAACACCAGCCAAGCCCAAGTTGACACTTCCAGGAGCAGTGCCGTAGTTGGTGGATCCTGAAAAACCGCCCACGTTCTGTGCCCCTGCACCAGGGCCTGTGCTCATGATAGGAATAGGATTGTTATTGGCATTGTTCCACCAACCTCCATAATAGTTGTTAGGTCCCCAATAACCATAGCCGGGATGGTTATAAGGTCCCCAGTAGCCATAGCAGTTTGACATTTGTTCCTTCCCTTAGAAGCAAAAGTTTGATAATTGTGTGTTTTGGACAGTTTGATGGGTTATCTACCGGAGTCTTTACATAGACTGGCGGTTTCCATGGATTTATGGTAACAAGAACTCAGTTGGTGAATAAAAAGATTCTTGGTAATTAATGCTTTAGGAAATTTAATTAAGACATGGCATCCTCGAACAGCTTAATTTCCATATTTGTTATTTTTTGGATATAATTTATTAATTACCCGATTCATTATTACATCACTATATTCTTTCCTTCTTTCGTCACAATATATTCTTTCTTGATAAATGATGCGCAGTGCATGTGGTCTTCGGACAATTGAATTCTCATCACCACAATTCTCAATATATGGATAAGGTGTATTTGAAATTGTTATAAAATATTATGATTTTAACTGTGATTATGCTTATGTTGAATTGTATTATATTATAATTGTAACTAAAAATTATTTTAGTATTTGATTATTTATTTTTAAAAGTATTATTGATAAAATATAGTAAATTTTTTAATTATTAATAAAAATTTTAAAAATATTATACGATCCCATAAAAAAATTATACAACTATATAAAAAACTCTTAATCATAATTGCAAATGCAGCCTAATACTGTTACAAACTGCTACAGGAAAAAGTGCGGTGGACTTAATGGACTAAAGTTCCGTATGGTATAGCGGTTTTAAAGTAGCGGTTAGCAGTTTTATCTAAAACGTTAAATATAGGTGTTTGGTAAATTTATATATTTTGAAACCACTACAATTAAAGTGTTTGGTAAAATTTTTATTTAGCGGTTTGAAATTAGCGGATAGCGGTTAGAATCCAAATCGCTAGCGGATTGAAAAAGCTAATTTATGTAGCTTTTTGTACCAAACCGCTAGTGGATTAAAATTTTTTTATTTTATTGATAAGTTTTTCTTTTTTAAAAATTTTTTAAATTTTTTATCACAATTGTAAATTTATATATTTTGAAACCGCTACAACTAAAGTGTTTGGTAAAATTTTTATTTAGCGGTTTGAGATTAGCGGATAGTGATTAGAATCCAAATCGCTAGCGGAT